GGGACAAGTAGAGTACGTCGTGGCAACAGGAAAATTAGGGGGGAAAGTCCGGAAGACACCAAGGATGATGTACGGCATGGCTTCATGTATGACCATCTACCCAGCTTATTCATGGAGTTTCCACACATATCACTCACCGAGTTCCCACACATATTACTCACGGAGTTCCCTCAAATATCACTCACGGAGTTCCCTCACATATTACTCACGGAGTTCCCTCACATATCACTCTCGAAGTTCCCATACATATTAGTCACCGAGTTCCCACACATATCACTCACCGAGTTCAATCACATATCACTCAAGAAGTTTCAAAACATATCACTCAAGGATTTCCCACACATATCACTCATCGAGTTCCCACACATATCACTCACAGCGTTCTCACACATATCACTCACAGAGTTCCCACACATATCACTCATTGAGTCCCCACCTCTAAAACTGCTGTGTTTTCCAGTTTCAGGTACGGAAATACCGGCTATCGCACCTACTACACCTTCCAAAGTCATCGACGCGGGCTTAATGGATTCCCCGGGTAAATCATCGTCTCATTGTCTTCTTCTTCTTCTTCTTCTTCTTCTTCTTCTTCTTCTTCTTCTTCTTCTTCTTTTCTTCTTCTGACGCTGGCTTCTTCTTCTTCTCCCGGGTAAATCATCTTCTTCATTGTCTTCTTCTTCTTCTTCTTCTTCTTCTTCTTCTTCTTCTTCTTCTTCTTCTTCTTCTTCTTCTTCTTCTTCTTCTTCTTCTTCTCCTCCTCCTCCTTTCCCTCCTCCACCCTCCTCCTTTTCTCCTTCCTTTCCTTCTCCTCCACTTATCATCATCATCATAACTGTCCTTATAATACTCACTTGATGTCCCCATATGTTGTATAGACGGGCAGTCTGTTAAAGTTGTCAAATGTGCTTGGGCAGTTCAGAAATATGCACCGGAGTCTATGACTGTGTTGCCAAAGTTGCTGAGTTGAGTACTTGCGCGACACTTTTCGTGTTGACTGCCTTTCGCTTGTGCCCGCATCGGTTTTATGAAGTGATTTTCAGTAAATGGTTGTTTTCTGGCCTGTTTTCAGGTTGGCCATGTGTTTTTTGCAATAGTTTTGCATATGTAAAGGTAAAGGTAAAGTCGGGAGATGTGAACCAGCGTCATTGCACACGGTTATAAACCATAAGTGCTCTGCCACCCGTAATGACAGCTGATAGGAAACTTTCCGCCTGTGTCGCCGTCGGCACACAATTCCGTAGCTACAGCGACGTTCCTCCATTTGCCACACAGAGTTAACTCAAGTATCCATTACCAAGAGGCTGGGTGAGCCCCGGTAGGTAAAGCCAGCTTGTCGGGACTTAAGGATAAACTACAATTTTAATGGCGGTCTTTTGGTGCTATAACATCTAGGGTCTGCCTTATGTATTTTCTTGCGTGTGCATGTTTCTGGATTTACCGCGAATAATGGTTAACTAATTTTCAGATAGGACGAACAGTGTCTTGTGTGGATGTACCCGTCATATAAACGGATCAGTTAAGGAGAGACTTCTTTTCTGTTAGGTTCAACCCACAATGACCGACTATAGAATATCATTACTACTATCACAAATGACGTAATAATACGGTCGAAACACAGAACTCACTGTAACATTGTTTTTTTTTTTTAATACATCATCAGATTCATTACTACTATCATGATTCCAATCGTTGTTGTCGTTATCATTATTTCAAGAAAGAAGACAGAGGTTGTGGTAGGTTGTACAACGTCTTGTCAAGGATACCGAACCAACTTTGTATGTTCCTGACGATATAAAGGAAATATGCCAAACGATTTGTTTTATACGATATAAAGGAAATATGCCAAACGATTTGTTTTATACGATATAAAGGAAATATGCCAAACGATTTGTTTTATAAAATGTATCGAATCTTGAAAACAAAATTCATTAAAGCTCCTTTCTAAGTCTGTGGTTAAGCACCAGCAAAGCAATCAAAATTTAATATTTTCAAAGCATGCATCTTTTCTGTAGTCGTAGATTATTTCCGAGTTCTTAATTGGGGATGAAATATACGGGTTTTTGTAGCTAGCATATTACAGAAATATTTTCACACTTCCATGAATAAAGAGGACAAGAGCTGAGCAGCATAGGAGATAGGCTAATAAACAGTATCTTGTCTCTGAAGCTAAAATATGTTGGCCAAATCAAGTGCCAAAATAGTAGCAGAAAGCATGAAGGATGGGCAGAGGCCGACCAGCACAAATATGGACACAGGATATAGGTGACTGCTTGGATACAAAAGTGCACGAGACGGGAGAGCTGGCGAGAGACCGAGTTTCGTTCAGACAGACCGTGATGAGAGCAACGCTCTGAAAACGACCTGCTACATGATCATATTTATGAAAACTCCTTTATTGCAAGACCAGTTGACAGAGAATGTATCAGCTTCTCTGTATCCCGAAACACCAGTTTGTTGCAGGCATTTATTGCAGCATACCTTGAAACTGACATTGTACCTTAAAACTGACATTGTACCTTAAAACTGACATTGTATCTAGAAATTGACATTGTACCCTGACATTGTACCTTAAACAGACATTGCACCTTGAAACAGACATTGTACTTTGAAACATACATTGTACCCTGAAAATGACATTGTACCTTGAAACAGACATTGTACCTTGAACTTTTTTACATGATCCTTGTTCTTGTGTATATAGTTCTTGTTTTCTGTGTTCATGCTAAGTACAGCATAGCAAAACGTAATGAAGCCAACAATGACATCTGTTTTGATTCTATCTCCAGATAATATACGCCTAACATGTCAACTCAATCCACGCCTGATCCACCTAAAACCGGACAACTGTGCCCAGTTTTACAACTGCTCCCTAGAAAAGAGTGCGCTAGGGGACTTCATTGATGAGTGTCCGGTAGGGCAGTTGTTTCACGCGGCTGTAAGACAGTGCAGGAATCACAGCGAGGCTAGTTGTCATGGCCGTTACCAGCCCAAACAAGTTTGTAAGTTACCAGTACATGTGTGGTGTGTGTGTAAATGTGTGTTTGCTACAGCTTTCTTTCTTTGTGTGTGTGTGTGTGTTTGCTGCAGCTTTCTTTCTTTGTGTATGTGTGTATGTGTGTTTGCTGCAGCTTTCTTTCTTTGTGTATGTGTGTTTGCTGCAGCTTTCTTTCTTTGTGTATGTGTGTTTGCTGCAGCTTTCTTTCTTTGTGTATGTGTGTTTGCTGCAGCTTGCTTTCTTTGTGTGTGTGTGTGTATGTGTGTTTGCTGCAGCTTTCTTTCTTTGTGTATGTGTGTTTGTTGCAGCTTTCTTTCTTTGTGTATGTGTGTTTGCTGCAGCTTTCTTTCTTTGTGTATGTGTGTTTGCTGCAGCTTTCTTTCTTTGTGTATGTGTGTTTGCTGCAGCTTTCTTTCTTTGTGTATGTGTGTTTGCTGCAACTTTCTTTCTTTGTGTATGTGTGTATGTGTGTTGGCTGCAGCTTTCTTTCTTTGTGTATGTGTGTTTGCTGCAGCTTGCTTTCTTTGTGTGTGTGTATATGTGTGTTTGCTGCAGCTTTCTTTCTTTGTGTATGTGTGTTTGTTGCAGCTTTCTTTCTTTGTGTATGTGTGTTTGCTGCAGCTTTCTTTCTTTGTGTATGTGTGTTTGCTGCAGCTTTCTTTCTTTGTGTATGTGTATATGTGTGTTTGCTGCAGCTTTCTTTCTTTGTGTATGTGTGTATGTGTGTTTGCTGCAGCTTTATTTCTTTGTGTATGTGTGTTTGCTGCAGCTTGCTTTCTTTGTGTGTGTGTGTGTATGTGTGTTTGCTGCAGCTTTCTTTCTTTGTGTATGTGTGTTTGTTGCAGCTTTATTTCTTTGTGTGTGTGTGTTTGTTGCAGCTTTATTTCTTTGTGTATGTGTGTTTGCTGCAGCTTACTTTCTTTGTGTATGTGTGTTTGCTGCAGCTTTCTTTCTTTGTGTGTGTGTGAATGTATGTGTGTGGGTGTGTATGAGTGTTTGCTGCAGCTTTCTTTCTGTGTGTGTGTCTGTGTGTGTGTCTGTGTGTGTGTATGTGTGTTTGCTGCAGCTTTCTTTAAGTGCGTGTGTGGGTTTGTGGGTGTGTATGTGTGTTTGCTGCAGTTTTCTTTCTTTGTGTGTGTTTTTTTTCTGCAGCTTTCTTTCTTTGTATGTGTGTGTGTGTGTAAATGTGTAGGTATGTATGTGTGTGGGTTTGTGTGTTTGCTGCAGCTTTCTTTCTTTGTGTGTGTGTGAATGTATGTGTGTGTGTATGTGTGTGGGTGTGTGTGTGTGTATTTGCTGAAACTTTCTCTATGTGTGTGTATGTGTGCGTGTATGTGTTTTTGCTGCAGTTTTCTTTATTTGTGTATGTGTGTGAATGTATGTGTGTTTGTGTGTTTGCTGCAGCTTTCTTTCTTTGTGTGTGTGTGAATGTATGTGTGTGGGTGTGTATGTGTATGAATGTGTATGTGTGTTTGCTGCAGCTTTCTTTCCTTGTGTGTGTGTGAATGTATGTGTGTGTGGGTGTGTGTATGTGTGTGTGCTGCAGCTTTCTTTCCTTGTGTGTGTGTATGTGTGTGTATGTGTGTGTGTGTGTGAATGTATGTGTATGTGCGTGTATGTGTATGTGTGTGTGAATGTATGTGTGTGTGGGTGTGTATGTGTGTGTGCTGCAGCTTTCTTTCTTTGTGTTTGTGTGTATGTGTGTGTATGTGTATGAATGTGTGCTTATTATTATTACCTGGCGAGAATAAGGCTCATGGGTGTAACTAGAGGGTCTAACCGGCTCAATACACTGAGACATATAACCAGACTGTAACCGGTACCATCACTATTGGAACTTTGCGCTGGCTGCTGAAGATGAGGACGGCGCACGCATTGTAATGCCCCAAGTGCTGTGATGTCAATTCTTGACTCAACTCAACTCAAGTTGTTTATACTAGGAATTTATTAAATACATTTCAACTTATGTTTATGGTTTTCCCAACCTGTTACGTTTCCATTCCAGGTGACTATCAGAAGATATGCTCCAACAAAACTTCAAACGGCTGCCCAACTTGCTTGAAAACCTACCCTTCATGCATTAATAAGCCAAATGGGGCGGTCTTGTCAAATGAGAGCTTCTCTAACACAGTGGTTTACTGCGTAAATGGACGTGCAGTAAATGTAACAACATGCGCCATTGGTCAATTTTATGACCATATTCAGCGCATTTGCACCAGTGTTCTAAATAATGGTGAGTAATGACCTTTTTCTTATATCAACTCAATACTATTCTGAAGATCCATGTGTGTAGTTAGACGTGACTGACAAATCTAAATACTGTTCTGAAGATCCATGTGTGTAGTTAGACGTGACTGACAAATCTAAATACTGTTCTGAAGATCCATGTGTGTAGTTAGACGTGACTGACAAATCTAAATACTGTTCTGAAGATCCATGTGTGTATTTGACTGACTGACAAATCTAAATACTGTTCTGAAGATCCATGTGTGTAGTTAGACGTGACTGACACAATTATAGTGAAGATCCATATGGAGACGTGACTGACAAATGTAAATACTGTTCTGAAGATCCATGTGTGTAGTTAGACGTGACTGACAAATGTAAATACTGTTCTGAAGGTCCATGTGTGTAGTTAGACGTGACTGACAAATGTAAATACTATTCTGAAGATCCATGTGTGTAGTTAGACGTGACTGACAAATGTAAATACTGTTCTGAAGATCCATGTGTGTAGTTAGACGTGACTGACAAATGTAAATACTATTCTGCACTTTTTAGGAATGTCTTTAATTTGTCAATTGTTGTTGTTGTTATCGATCCAGCGGCGCATGAGCTTTCGCCCTCTGGCGCAATGCCATGTAGTGGAATTTTGATGTTTTCATAAGCTGTTATTTACCTCCGTACAAGGTGTTCCACTTGTTTGGTCACGGAGGGAGTAGAATTCTTCTAATCTCGCTGAGATTTGGGCACTCATAGAGTGGTTCCACATTTGTATGGATTTCACAGGCATCAGTTGGAGTAGACCGCATAGCTCCGCAGATTAACCGAAGAGCATTATTTTGTACTCTGTCAAGAGTCTCTAGGTTAGTTTTGGAGCAGGTTGTAAGCAGTGAGTGGTTGTACTCTATCACAGAGCAAACATATCCAAGATACAAGCCCCTCAGGGTTTCCTTGTCTGATCCCCATGCTGTACCTGCACGGTCCTCTTGTACCGCCTCAATTTTTCAATATGGTTTTTGAGGCTGACTGCTGCCAGTGTTCTAAATAATGGAACAAGTGTTATATCAAACTCAAGATACGGAGGGTGCTCTTCTTTCATCAGTTGGTGTTTGTCTAATCTCAAGTTAATATTCTTTCTTGCTACTTGATGGCTTTTGGTAACGATTGTGTCGACCGTCTTTGTATAATCAAGCTTAAGTTCCCACCTTTCGCAGTACGCATGCAGTCTTCTAAGGTCTCACTTTAGTCTCGGGGCTCCACTTTCTACATTTTCATATTGCTAGATCATCAGCGTACAAGGCTTTTTCAGCCTTGATATGTTCTGGCAAGTCATTGATAAAGATTAGAAACAGTGTACATCTCAATGATGAGCCCTGTGGCAAGTACTCCTCCAATGCTTCTTTAGATAAGTTTGCGTTGTGTATTTTAGTCTGGATTGTTCTATCTATCAGAAAGTATTTCACCCAGTTATACAATCTGCCATGTATTCCTATGCTCATCATCTTCATCAGCAGACCTTTTCTCCATACTCTGTCATAGGCCTGCTGGAGGTCGACAAAGACGGCCACTGTGTGTTTCTTATTCTGGAAGCCATCATGTATTCTTTGTGTCAGTCTGAACAGCTGGTCTTCTGCACAGCTGTTGGTTCTAAAGCCTGCCTGTTCATGGCTTAATGTTTCGATACAGTAGATAATAATTAATGTAAATTATAACTATAACGATAAAAAAAAAAAAAAAAAAAAAACAGACACAGATACTGCCAAACTTTTCAGTCTTTATAAAGGAAAAAACAAAAAGAAGAAACCCAAGCCCTATTCTCTAAGCGGAGGAGTCACGTGAAAAAAGATTTAAAACAGTCAAATAAAGCGTGAGGATTGGAGGAGCTGTTAGCAAACGAGCACTTAAGCCATAATAATATGTTAAAAACAACAAAAGGGAAAATAAGAACAAAATATAAATTGTTATATTCAGATCAATTATAATATCTCAAAATAATAAATATATATAATTATAGGGGTGCTGCATGGTCTCGAGGCATGGTGTCCGCCTCAAGTGCTAAAGGTCCCTGGTTTAATCCCTGGTAAGAGCTTTTTTTTCACGTGGACTTAGACTTGCAGTTATCTCCCTTAGTCTCTGGGCAGTAAGATGGACGCCTGACGTGTGCTTTGCTCGGCTCGTAAAAAAAAATTCATTGGCAGTTATAAATCGAAAAGAATAGCCTAACGGCGCTGCCCGACACGATTTGAAGTTTCAAATCTACCCAAAGTATTTCAGAATCCTCGCCGGTGCTACAGAGCCTGTGCACTGTGCTGAGCTTTTTCGGACGTAGACTTGAGTTAGAAGAAGAACAGAGCACTTATGGGTTATTACCGTGTGCCGTGATGTTGATCCGATGTCAAACTTTATAATATCTGATGTAAGAAGATTTGCAACAGAGATTTAAAGGACATGTAGGGCGAAAAGTGCATTTCAAAAGTTTCAAACGGTCTCTCTAATTAATCATAAGAAAACAGGACTGAAAAGTTATGGTTAACCAGTGCTGCTATTATATTTTTTTTCCCTTATCATCTTATTATCCCTGTGTATGATGCAATTTTTCGTTATTTGAAGTCCTACTTGGCTCTTGCCAGGGGCCGCAATATAGCCCGGTTATAAAGATGGTCTAATGGCTGAATACGGTTTCTGGGATCTCTCCACGGGTGATCCTCATCCACATGGTGGCACTTTGTGTCATCGGTTGTTTATCGCTTGTGTGATGTCCTGGTTAGGTAAAAGAAGATAGACAGGTGCTGCTATTTGGCTGTCAATCTTGTAATGTAAATAAACAAATTAGGACGAACTTGGAAGCCTTAGATGTTTCTGTTTCTCTGTCTTTCTATGGCACGTGCTGTGTATTTGAGAAGCTAGATATTGTGGGGGCCTTCTGGAACGAGTGAACAGTGCAGAGGCGCAGATAGATCATTACGGTCTAAGGAAAATGGCGCTGCGAGAAGTTACCAGAGGATTCTGGCCGACGCTTACCACTCAAAGGAAGGATAGGACGGATATGCAGTCAGACGGTTACTGGTACCATTGGCATTGGAACTCTTCTCTTGCTGCTGAAGTTGGGGACTGAGTACTTATGGGAGTGTCCTGAGTGCAGTGATGTCGATTCCTAATTCAACATTCATCATTCGTGTGTGCTTTAGACAGTCAGAGGGTTATCAACGCCTGCCTAGTAATGGCTAATTCAGTTATAAAACTAAATATAACTATAAGAAAGAGGCAGTCAGTGGTTTTCAATCATATGGTGAGAAATTAGGCACCGGAGAATAACGTTATGACTGGACAGATCAACGGTAGGAGAGGCAGAGGCAGACCAGTATAGACGATACTTCGCGATCTGAGTTGATGGAATTTAGGAACATTATCAGAGGAACTGATTCAGAAACACAAAAGTTCAAAATTTGAGAGAAGACATGAGCCCCGCCTCTGCCTGGCAGGGTAACATTATGACGATTTTGATGATATTTCAAAATAGAGATGTGTGATTTGATTAGAGCAATATTTTATGGCAGCGATAATTGTATTAGCTTCTCGTCTGAATTCAGAGCTTTTGAATAGCCTTTCTTTCTTTCTGTCTGTCTTTCTTTCTTTCTTTCTTTCTTTCTTTCTTTCTTTCTTTCTTTCTTTCTTTTTTTCTTTCTTTCTTTCTTTCTTTCTTTCTTTCTTTCTTTCTTTTTCCTTTCTTTCTTTCTTTCTGTCTTTCTTTCTTTCTTTCTTTCTTTCTTTCTTTCTTTCTTTCTTTCTTTCTTTCTTTCTTTCTTTCTTTCTTTCTTTCTTTCTTTCTTTCTTTCTTTCTTTCTTTCTTTTCCGACTGTTCTCCCCAACCTGTCTGCGCGTCAGTTAATCTGCCTGTCTGTTTGTCTTTGTTGTTTTCTTGTTTCCTTAATTCTCCCTTCAATATATCATCATCATATTTACGACAGCTATCATATCTCCATCATGTGTTTCGGGAGGTAAATTGTTAGAAATAACCCAAGTAAATATCTGAGTCATGTCATGTTTTCCTTCCAGACATTGTCAGATTTGCATGCAAACAGAGGCCAAATCAGCTCTTGCCACACCCCATCCATTGTGCCAGGTATATCAGATGTTTGCCCTCAAACAATATTGGAAGCTCCGGTAACATCAGCTTCACTATAGGCGAGTGTCCATATCCCCTACTATTCAGCGATGGTTTGTGTCGGAACTATACAAGTGCTAAATGTGGACACAGGAGAGAACCCATAACACCATGTGAGTATATTTGAATGCCCGGGTTCCATAAGGGAAGTAACCTTACTGAATACAGGGAAAAAGGCGGCGGGAAAAAGTAAGGGGGGGGGGGGGGAGGAGTGGGGTTGGGGGGGGGGGATAACTTCCACTGTAAACCTTAAAATTGTGATATAAATAACAACAACCATACCATCGTCTTGTAATCTGTCAGTATTGTTGTTAAGGATGTTATCACGGTGCAGACAAGCACAGTGACGCCATAATGACAGTTTAAAGATGGCCGCCCCACTTTTGACACACACACAAAATAGTCGTGATTATCGACATTGTGCTGTCACGAGCTTAACACTCTTGACATCCGTAACAACAGTATTGACAGTAGCCAGATAATGGCATGGCTGTTGTAATTTCTTTAACACTTTTAACGTTTCTAGCATCTGGAGCAGAGCTTCTCAGCCTTCCTAATGCGGTGACCATTTAATACAGTTCCACATGTTGTGGTGACCCCCTGCCATACAATTATTGTTGTTGCTACTTTATAACTTCAGTGAATATGCATTTTCCGATGGTCTCTGGCGACCCCTGTGAAAATGTCGTTCGCCCACAAAAGTGTCGCGACCCACAGGCTGAGAACCTCTGATCCAGAGGGTTAGCATCACAGTGGCTGCCAGGTTTTATGTTAGAGAGTTACAAAAGATAACATGTTTAGCAAATGGTTTGCAGTCGAAACTGGGTTGAAAAATGGGTGTTTATGTTATCTGCACTCTTATTTAGCATGACTATTCACTAGCTGTTGTCTCTGTGGCTTCGGCGTTGCGAAGGCGCTTTGTAATGCCTGGGTGACGGGTTCCATCCCTGCTGCAGGCGATTTGCATTGGTTTCGACGTTCATATCAAGAATCGATTGCCCAGAAAGCAATGACAAACTACTAGACGTAAATTTACCTGGCAAAACCACAATAGCCAACAAATGCTGAGGCTGGTTCTGCAACGTCCTTTAAAGGATTTGCAACTAACTTCTGAAGATTATCTGGATGGCGCAAACATTTGAAAGACATAACGACATCAAGCGGAGAATCTTGATTTTGCAGATGATATAGCACTGCTGAATAAGAACAGCAATAACATGCAAAGACAATCGGGTTAGATGATTGAGCTAATACAGTTTCAACGGATGAACTACAAATCAATCGGGAGCCGTGGTGGTGTAGCGACTAGACGCTCGGGTGCGGATCCAGACGTCCTGGGTTCAAGTTCCAGTGGTACAGGAATAACATTGGCTTCCATGCCCACCCAGCTTTGAATGGGTACTAGATGGAGTCATTGGAAGTAAAGGTAGTCGGCACAATGCTGACTCACTTAGTGCCGACTGGTCTATAAAGTATAGGCCCAGCCATATATGTCCAATACCCATAAAAGCGTGAAAAAGAGTACCTAAATTTTAAAGACAGATATAATGACGGCATCATTATTAGATCAAGAAAAAGTCGCACTAGAGCCTAAAAAAATAATCGAAGTGCCAGATAAAATACTTTTTTTTTTTTTATGTAACTAATCATTCCCAAAAAAATACACAGAAAGAAAGTATATTTCGCATTCACAAAGGCAACTGCAGCTTTCCTTTATCTTCTTCTTCTTCTTCTTCTTCTTCTTCTTCTTTCTTCTTCTTCTTCTTCTTCTTCTTCTTCTTCATGTTTACCGGAGGAAAGTTTTTTCGTTGTTAGTCTACTTCTGGACTCCAGTCCTGTTCCAGAAACTGAGTGTTGCGTGCATATCCGTTTCACAGGTCTGCCATTTGCAGGTAGACTATTGGTTCCTTGCCTCTCTGGCAGATTTACTCCGACTTCGAAGGAGTCTCCCAATTAGTCGACTTACGACTTACTTGTTTGGACAGGCAGTGGGTCTATTCTTGTTCTCCCCCACAATGGGACCCCAAAACCCACACGACAGTGGCAATTTTTAACTCTTGTGTTCATATACATTTTCATACAAAAATCATTGTTTTTTCCTCCCATTAATTGCCGTTACGAAGATTCTAACAACATTATGTATTGTAGGAATTAAAAATAAATCGAAAGGATTTCACAGGACACAGGCAATATAGTACCAGAATGCGAGCCTTGTGTGATTTATTCGATCACAGTAGTAGTAGTAGTGGTAGTAGTGGAATTAGTAGTAGAAGTTGTCGTTGTAACATCACTATAGCGGTAGCAGTTGTAGTGGTAGTACCAACGGGGGTAATAATAGTAGTACTGACAACAGCAGCAGCAGTAGTACGTTATATAGTCAATAATTTATTTGTAATTACTTATCTTGAGAGCAGGATTTGTGTGTGTGTGTGTGTGTGTGTGTGTGTGTGTGTGTGTGTGTGTGTGTGTGTGCGCGCGCGCGCGCACGGGCTCCTATTTTCATCCCGACAGTAATGTTTTATACATAAATTATATTTAGGCTAACCAGCTGTATCGACACAAACGTTTTTGTTGTTATTTTCATCACTTGTTTAATGTTAGTTAGGTAACAAAACAAGCTTTAAAGTACCGATGTTGAGTTACCATACCCCATGTTTCTCCTTACCTTCTCAGGTGAATACGAAGAACTGAGAAAATGCCCCAGAAATGGAAGTCAGTGCCTCGAGGACTCCTCCAACACCTGTCCAGACAAACATGAGTATACCTGCACTCCCTGTGAGCAACGATACCCAACCTGCATTGGCAGCCCTAATGGCTTTGTGCCTTACCCCAATCGTCTCTTCACTTCAGACTTTGTCAGCTGTGATCAACAGAGGACATTGTCGATACTCAAGTGTGCCCAGTCCATCTTTGATCCTGATGCCAGACGCTGTGGCTTACGTTTGGATACAGGTAACTACCGAGTGTGGCATAGGGATTCTTTTGCTAGCCTATCAGATTAGTGTTCCGGGTTTAATTCTCATTACTGAAAGGATGATCTTTTCCTAGATGCATGTAAATAGAGGTGACTTCATCAGAGTTATCATATCAGGCTGAGATTTTTAAAGAGGGGTATGTAGTTCTCTTTCTATCAGAGAAGTAAACGCCAAACAGATTAGTGATAAACTTCACACACAATGTCTTGAAGCAGCTGAGGTTGCACGGCAAAGTGCAAGCACGGGCACTGAATCATCTGGAGGAGTCGGCTGAGAAAACTTCGGCCTGGTTTAGGGCGTAGCCAGAACAGTTGGGGGATAGATCTCGGTAAGCTGGCTCAGTTTCCCAGTGAAAAGGAACTGTCAGGTCTCTCATTAGGTCAACGTTTGTCTGATCAACGTTTGTCCGATCAAAGAGCCTCCAAAGAACCAACCATCCAGCTGTCAATCTGAATTGTACAAGCAGATTGGCCATACGGTGTTGAGAGGCAGACGAAGTGCACAGGGACCATAGCAAACGCTAGTTGGACATCATTTAGTGCAACAAAGCCTGGCATATAATACCACAACGTCTAGTTCGATAATGGAGGTAACTTTAACACACTTATAGAGCATGCTGAGAAAAGTGAAGACAGGTATGCTCGGTGCAAAATGGCAATCATCGCTTCAGAGGTTCCGGCTACCTAGCGTCCTTTGGATGCTTTCTACAGAAATTATGGTGTGTTGGGAAACGAACGGGTAGATAGACTGGCTGGTTCTGCACCACATAATGGTCAACTAATACATGTCAAGTTAGATGTTGTAGCGTCCTTAGCGAGAGAATGAACAGCGCAGAGGCACAAATAGATCATTACGGTCTGAGGATAATGACGCTGTGACAAGTAATCAGTGGATCTGGTCGATGCTATACACTAAAGGGAAAGACGAGATATACAATCAGACAGTTACTGATGCCACCAGAATTGGAACTCTTCGCTTGCGACTGAAGATGGGGACATGTCGCTTATGGGAGTGTTCCGAGTGCTGCGATGTCGATTCCTAACTCAACATTCAACATTAACTTAGCACGTTCATATCAAGAACCGTATCGTGCAGCCCATTGTCACTATTCATCTTAACATTGATAGTACAGTCTAGGCTTTATAATATTTAATCAGGTATTGCCAGCTAGCTCTTAGTACCATCGTTACAGTTAGGTTAGAATGATTTTAAGGAACCTACGTGGTACTGAAAGATTTACATGTTCTTGTGCTCTCACTTTCTCTCAGTGATTACAGAAGCACAAAGAAACACCGTCAACTTCTGTAAGAAGTACCCCAGAGCTATGATCCCGCATGCAACCCACTGCGCCCGCTTCTACAACTGTTCTGCTCCTGCCGATGAAGGAATCAGCGGCGTATCTCATCTACAGGAGTGTGCTCACCCCCAGCTCTTCAACAGTGACTTGAGAGTGTGTCAGAACTTCATCGAGGTGCTCAACACTGCAGGCTGCGGGAAGAAGTTTCAACCCAAACATTACTGTGAGTATCCTTGTAGCTAGCTTTAAAATCCCATGAAGAGCCTAACTGAATCGAATATAGTTCCTTGCTGTATTATTTTATGAAGCTCTAAGTTGTAATATACAACCTAATTAACTATAATTAAGGCCCTTGCTGTATCCAATGAAAGGTCCTAATAAAGGACTTGGTGATATCTGATAAGGGCTGCCATGATGGTATCTAATGAAGGATTTACTAATATCTAATTGAGGCCCTAGTGTTATCTAATTAGGGCCTATAGATATCGAATGATGACCATTATATTTAATGAAGGTCCAAATGGTGCCCAATGAAGGTGTATTGATATCGTGAAAACCGTAATGATATCTAATAGGGATCCAGTGTTTCCAGACGATAGTTTTTGTAATGTGTTATGATGAGGCTTGTATCTCGCAACCCATGGCGATGGCGAGTGTGACTAGCAGGACCCGCGCATGTTAAGAAAATGCTTCCACATTTAGAGTATGGGATTTCATAAGTCTGGTTGCTATCGCGTGTGTTTAGTGTATTTCGTCACAGACGTCCAGCTCTGATTCTTTCTGCAATCATAGTTTTTCCTCCTGTTTCATTTCCTTGGTGAGTTTCCGGCTCTGCGCAACATGCCATTTTATTCACGCGTATCTAATCTAATATCTGTACCATTCATGTCCCGCTTGCACACATCTTTATATCTTAGTAGGTCAAAGAAGATCCTGATGTGCAATAAAGTAGTAGTGATGATCAACAAACAGCTACCAAAGCATTGCCTTCCACTGCTAGGGTTGATCCAGGGACATTACATGTATCAGCCTGGCTGTGCACCGGCAACAAACTGACTGCCTTCCTTTTAAGGGGGGGGGGGGGGGGGGGGGGGGGGGTGGAGGGGATGGAACGATGAGTTTACAATCAGTGTGCTACGGGGCAGTTAGTATCTACATCTTAAAAGATTTGCTGCGGGAGATGGAGCACCTATGAGTGAGCCTGGTGTGCTGTCATGTCGATTCTTGAATCAGTAAATCAGTATATTTAAATAATGAGGACACAAACAATAGATTGCACAATTTATTGCCAGGCATATTTCGCTGTACGTCAGCAGGTGCGTTACTACAGAGTTAAATCAACATATAGTGAAGCATAAAATAAACCCTTTTCTTGCTGAAATGCAAAAAACACACATTCGAGTTGGGTACATCTATCCATCAAATTGACCACACGATCTTTCTGTTTACATAACATAGGGGAGTAGAGTCTTAATATTACAGCCTCAATCAGTATATCCAATTGTTAGTATATCAGTACAGCTCCTATGTTTATCAAAAAAAAAAAGACCATAATAATATCTCTCTCTTTTTGTGTGTGCACCTGCAGGTGATTACACATCCATCTGCCCAAGCCAACGCTTTCCAACTTGCACCGACTGCAGAAAAATCTTACCAAGCTGCGAAAGACAGGTCAACGGAATTCACGGCAACCCGCCCGGCAAGGGAACGACCAAAGGGTTCATGTACTGCGTGGAGGGTCGGGTACTGGCCACGTCGCTGTGTGCAGCTGGGTCAGTGTTCCAAGAGTCAGTCCGAGCGTGTGTATCGAGGTCGACAATTGCTAGACAAGAAAGCGGTTAAATGTTAACATATTTACCGTACGATTCACAAGTTTGAACATCTAGCTTCCCGTGTGGGTTCCGGGGTCCCATTGTGGGGAAGACAAGAATAGACCCACTGCTTCCACAATAAGCATGTCGTAATGGTTGACTAACTCGGAGCTTCCTTCGACGTCGGATTGCATCTGCTTGAGAGGCAAGGAACCAACAATATGCATACAATAAAGTCAGATCTGTTGAACGGATGTGCACGCAACACTAAGGTTGTAAAACATAACTATAGTCCAGAGGTTGACAAATAACCAGAGCTTCCTTCGACGTCGGATTGTATCTTCTTGAGAGGGAACCAACAAAATGCATACAATAAAGTCAGATCTGTTGAACGGATGTGCACGCAACACTAAGGTTGTAAAACAAAACTATAGTCCAGAGGTGGACAAATAACCAGAGCTTCCTGCCGCAGTTTACAGTCAGTGAACGAGAAGAAGAAGAAGGCCGCAAAAAAAAAAAAAATTAAAAAAAATAGACACACATTTAGCTACAGTAAAAATTAAAGAGTAAAGATTCCTTCTCACGCCTATAGGCGCATCGGGCATATGGGTAGAGCGTCCATATTTTGTCAGACCTTCGGCACTAGGTGGGTAATGTGGTCAGCATTACGCCGGCGTTCTTTACTTCCCCAGGACAGCCATCCTGGTACCCATTTTAGGCTGGGTCGACCTGCGATGTCCCATACAATGATAAAAATCCACGCAGCCAGCAGTGGGTTTTGATCACCGTACTTTGGTGCTGAGGCACAAATAGATAATTACGGTCTGAGGCGAAGGGCTCTGGTAAGAGTTATTCAGGAGATCTGACCGACGCTCAACGCGCAAAAGGAAAGACGAGATGGATATACAATCGGACGGTACTGGTGGGATCGGAATTGGACTCTTTCGATTGCTACCAATGATGGCGACGGAACACTGATTACTCAGTAATGGGAACTGTGTATTTACTTTGTAATTCACGCAGCATTTATTAAATAATAATTTTTGTACTATTAAATGATTGTTTGAATTGTTCATTTTCTGATCTAATCCTTGGTCTGCTGACTGTTTATTTATCACATTGTCTGTTTCATAGATTACTATTTGTTTTGATTGAATACTTTTTTTTTAAAAATTGAAAACTTGGTCGATTGCTGTTTGTTTAGTCAATTAATGATTACTTTGTAAATAATTTGATTGGATTCCTGATTAATTATATGTATCGATCACTATTAAAAGCACGGTGAAATTCTTAAATTAATAATATTGCTGTGTGTACTTTTTTTTTGTTGAAAACTCGCATCTCAGGCAAGAAACTGTTTATCACTAACAAGGATTCAAACATGCGTATATAAGAGGGTGGTTTCTTTGAACATTGGTCTCGGTTAAGTTAGGGCAGATCTCCCCAAACAAAGTAGGTAACTTTTCATTCACAAGTTTGTTGGGCTGGTCGACTTTAATGAAGGTTACGGGTGTGTCCCGCTCTATTGTTTGCTTTCTGTGTTGTATTGCATTTACGTTTTCATTCCAAGAAAGAGAATGTCTGTGACACAGGTTGCAGCACTCTCGAGGGGAAGTTGTTTAGACCCAGTTGCTCCATGTTTTCTATAGCGTTAAAAGCGCTAGCGTGCTGAAATATACAACACACGATATCAATCAAGGTGACAGGTTCAGGAACTACCCGTTAGAAGTGACCTAGTGTGTATTTGGGCTGAGCGTGGGGAGATTAACGTTACTTTTACCTTGGTCCCCAAACCTTTTTTTCAGGTGGCGTCCCCTTGAGTCTATTGCAGGGCCCCGCCTCCCCCTCCACCCTTTCCATTTCCACACAGCTTCCCACCACCCCAAAATAACAAAATGTGATTTAATATGGAGGACACAAAGAAAGATCACAAGAACTTTAAAAAAAAAAAAGAGAGAGAGAGAGAGAGAGAGAGAGAGAGAGAGAGAGAGAGAGAGAGAGAGAGAGAGAGAGAGAGAGAGAGAGAGAGAGAGAGAAACATCCACCTCAAAGTATGAAATAACAAAAGGAAAAAGCATCAGCAAATAGTAATGTGCAAACATAAATGTGAAGGTTGACACTGTTTTGCATGATAGTATCTGCTACTTTTGGTCTGATGTTAAAGGCACACAGAAATCACTCTGCACAAGCAGCTGGCAGGGCTGTTTTGTTTTCATGACAGTTAAAGGTAAAGATCCGGATTATTACAGATACTCTCAATGTTAAAATTGCTTGCCGCTCCCTTCCCCCATTTTTTGAAACCTCTTCAGCCACCTCCAACCCCCCCCCCCCCCCCCCCCGCCCTACTTCCCAAGAAGGCGCGCCCTCCAGGTTTAAGACAACTGCCTTAGCTCTTTAAGTCCCAGGGTGTTTAGCAACAGAGGCCCAAGGGGTGGTAATACAATTTTCTAATTTCACAAGTGTAACGCAATAAAACAGACCATACTAATTCAGTTGCTGCGCAACATACACGTATTATACATCAAAGTGACCAGGGATTGTTGAGGAATACTTATAGAATACAGCTACAAAGAATGATTGGGTTAGTAATTAAATATCAGTACGTAAACAGACGGTACGTTTACACAAATTAGTAAAATGAAATTCCACTTACCACCATGGCACTTAAGGAAAACTGGTTTAAATATATCTAAAATGAATCACAAATGAATATGAACCACTTAGTAATGTATTAGTAATATATGAACTTAAACTTTTCGTTAGATTTTGTTCCAAAGTATCTTTTGAAGCAACATAACAGAGCACCATTGTTTGGTAAAGAAAACTGACTTTCAAAACAATAAGTATCTTCACACATAATGAAGTTTTTATAACACTTAATTTGCCTATAACTATTTAGCTATGTTCCTAAAAAAAAGTAAGGAGAATAGTACTAGAGCTAACTGACGCTGAAGAAAATCGTCTTTTCACTAATGTTTATTTTATTTGTGCCAGCTGACTTTGCTATCGTTGTACCTTGCGTGAGGTACACATGAGACATATCCCCCATCAAAATTTAACTCTATAAATGACTGAAACACGTCTAATTCGCAACATTATCTATCTAACTTCGAGAAAAATCCAACAAACACGTACTTTATTTAAAACTGAGGCTTCTAAAGCCGAAATCATGTTGGCATGCATGTAGAATACTGCTTGGCGTCCATATTGTTTTTAAACAAACGCTTAGTTACTCGGTAAATCATGCAAATATACTATACTTTCGGCTTTCAGACGACGTTTTTAAATGAGCCCGCCTGATATCAGACACAAAAAACTCGAAAGGAAGTTGAAACTGCGCGGTCCGCGTTTTATGACCGGTTAGCGGTAAATTAAAAACCTTCACTTGTCACGAGTCGATTGGGCTGGGCGGTTGCAACAAATTAGCGCGTAATGCGTTCCCTTGGACTTGAAGCTGCACACATTGTCTTGAAATGTAAAAAAAAACGAGCCAGTCATCCTCAAGATAGATGAAAAACGTAAAGGGATTAGAAATAAATAGCAATAACAACGGATGGTTGTTCACAGATTTATGGCACTATTTCATGATAAATTACCTCTTCTTCACAATACGGTTACATATTTGTTGAATAAAGTAGTTATATATATTTCATTGGTAGTTTCCAGAACAGCGTTAGATCATAGCAGTAACTATTGTTACTAATTCAATGACTTTTTTAGCACAATTATTGATGACGTCACTTTTCACAATTATTCTGTTTACAAAGTTTCATCATCAAGTGCCTAGTCAGCTGGCGTTGGCGTTCATGTATCCCCAAAGATTTCGGTCTTTGGTGTTCTGGGGCAATTCCACTGATGATAATCCCCCATGCCATTGTCTTAAGCCATGCACCTACATTTCTCTTGGTCCGCATCTGCTTCTTTTACCAGGGATTTGTATTTTAGTTGTCACGATATTTTTTACTGCTCTATTTTTCATCACATGAACAAAGAGCTTTGTCTCCTTCTCATTGTTGTATAGGAATAAAATCACAGGGAGCAAGTACAGCAGGGATCTACCAGTCGTCAGTAGAAATTATCCTCGTCGACACGCGTTTAGGCCCACGATTCCTAGACGCATTCGGAGGTGGGCCCTCCTGAGTTCATGAAGCTCAGGACTGGTACCCTGCTGCACGGAATTACCGGATGGTGTTTTTCTTTCGGCCAGAGACAAGACGACTTGGTGGTTTCGCAGAAGGTACTGTGAGATAAGTATATAATGTAAAGAAAGTTCAACTCTGTATTTATGTGAAAGAGGATTGTCAACCTTCTTCAGGTAACAATCAAAAACGAAAGAGATCAAATGTTGATAATAACATGAGGTTTTCATTAACAAAAATGCAATCACAAATGTATAATAGTGTTAAGTAATTACATTTTTAGTCGTCGCTTTAAATATGTTGTAAGTAATTTTCAATTAAATTATATTGAAACTATTGTTTTCCTTTTTTTTTTTTTTTTGACGTATCCTATCTTCTTCTTTTTTCTTTATGTTCACGGGCTGTAAACTCTGGGTGAAAGTTCTAGTTGTTTGTCCTCCTCTAGTCTATAGTGTATGTTTCAGAACTTGTGCATTGTGTGCACATTCGCTTTACAGATTTGACTTATTTGTATGCAGATTGTTAGCTCCATATTTATCCTACAGATGCACACCGTTTTCAACAACAACAACAACAAAACCGAATTAGTCGTCTCTTATGACTTCCTTGTTGGGGACGCATTGTTTTTGCCCTCTATAGGGCCTCGCAGCCCACATGATAAAAACTAAACGAAAATAAATGACCCTTGTCCATGTTTTCAGGCGTATTGGGCACATAGGGCTAGACTTGTATTTTATAGACCAATAGTCACTTGATGGGTGATGTGGTCAGCATCACACTGACCGCCTTTACTTTCCAGGACTATACCTGGTACCCACTCAAGACTGGGTCGTCCTGAGAGCCAAGGTTATTTTTGAAAATCTATCCGGCTCTGTCAGGACCCGAACATACG